TATACAGCTAATCAGCTGCAGTCTCTAGAAGAAGAGGAAAGTACAGAAAACGAGTCTGAAGACGAAATATTTAAAAAAACAAGCACGGAGAATCCAAAAAATCCAAAAACAGCTGAGAGCTCAAAACAATACACAGCAAAACCAACGGCGGAAAGAACTAACACCGAAAAAGCAAAAAGAAAGAGAAGGAAGATACAATATAGTCCTCGAGCCGTCAGGACTCGAAGCAGTAACAAATAAAAATAACACTTTTTTTGCTCGAATTATTATATTGCAATAAACCTTCATTATTTACTCGGCACTTTAATATTGAATATTGGATATGTTTAGAATCTTTTGATCATATAAAATTTAGTTATCTTTGTACCGAATTTACTGTAATACATATTAGTTTTATAATGCTTCTGCCATATTTCACTTTTAGGATAAAAAAAATAGACTAGGAAATAAGTAGTTAGATCGAAAATATAGAACATAGTTACTCTTATTTAATTTGGCTTGAGCTTTGAACAAAAAAAAAAATAAATAAAAAAGAAACACAGACCGTATTAAATAAATTAAAGCAATGGATAGATATCTGCTGGACTTTGATATCTTTGAACTGGCAACCATTGAGGCAAGGAACTTAGAAATGGCAAACAAATATTTAAATGAAAATTGAATTAAGTTAAATTAAACTAAAATAAATTAAACTAGATTGGATTGGGTTAGGTTGGATGAAGTAGATTAAATTGGATTAAACTAAGTTAGGTTGAATTGAATTGAATTAAGTTGGGTCGGGTTAGGTTAGATTAAGTCAATTAAAAAAGCGATAACAGAAAAATGTTATAAACAAATTCAGAAAGCTAAGAACTACAGACAAGCTCACTAGAGCTTTGAAGATCTTAGACTTTCATTTATATGATATCTTCTATATTTACTCATGCTTTGTATTTAAAATAACATTGTTTTTATTGTGTCATTTGGTATGAATAAATATTATAAATAAAAATAAAAACGGCAAAAATCTCGTATACCAGGATCAATGATTCTGGACTAATTGTCTTTAGAGTCCCCGCAAAACATAGTGGATGGATTTGCCAATTTTTTCAAAAGTGTATATGTTGCATCATCAGATCCCTTCTCAATTAACCCTGTCGAGCCCTACAACTCTCAAAATATATCCATTAATAATATTTCTCAGCTTGAAGTGTGCAGTGCACTCAAAAAATTAAAAGATACAAAAACTGCAGGTTATGATAAAATACCATCTTTTATATTGCATGATTGCTCACCGTTTCTATCAGTGCCCTTACATCTTATCTTCAATAAAATTTTAAGAAATAATATATTTCCGGAAAAATGGAAAAAAACTAAGATTTGTCCTGTCTTTAAGGCAGGTCAAAATAATAATATCACTAACTATCGACCTATCTCCATACTGTCCAACTTTTCGAAGGCCTTTGAAATCTGTATTCACAACAATCTCTTCCATCAAGTTAAAAACCTAATATCTCCTACTCAACATGGCTTCTTCCCACAGAGATCAACTATCACAAATCTTACAAGTTTCCTACAAAGAGCTTATCAAGCTATCAATAATAGGAAACAACTTGACGTCATATATACTGACTTTTCCAAGGCCTTCGATAAGTTGGATCATGGTCTCATTGCCCGGAAAATGTACAACATTGGGTTTCATAGGAACCTGGTGAATCTATTTATCCCATATTTGAGTGGGCGAACACAGTTTGTGGAGTACAACGGTTTTCGTTCTGCTGACTTCAGCGCTTCAAGTGGCGCTCCTCAGGGAAGCAATCTAGCTCCTCTAATATTCGCTATTTTTGTGAATGATATCACCGACACTATCTCATCTAACTGTGTACTGTTTGCTGATGATCTGAAGATTTTTAGAATTATTGACACCATACAGGACTGCTCAGAATTACAAAACGACATTGACTCCCTGTCTTCTTGGTGTATCACAAATAAACTTCCGCTAAATATTAATAAATGCCGTTCTATGACTATTTCCAAACTTCATAATGAAGTGAAGTTTGCATATAAACTTGAAAATACCAATCTTTCAAGTGTAGATTCCATACGAGACCTTGGGGTAATTATCGACAGTAAACTAAGCTTTAATAAACATATTGACCAAATCGTTCAAGCTTCTTTGAAAACACTTGGCTTTATTATTAGGTCTACAAAAGATTTCACAAATACGGAGGGCTTGATTGCCTTGTACAACTCATTGATAAAATCAAAATTACAATATGCAGCTCTGATATGGTTTCCTAGTTATGATGTACATGTTGACAGGCTCGAATATGTCCAGCGCAGATTTCTCAAGTACCTAAGCTTTAAGCAGGATGGCATTTACCCTCCACGGGGATATGACCACAAATTATTACTAGAAAGATTTAACTTTTTATCACTTAAGCAAAGTACAATTCTTGCCAGTCAATTGTTCATTTTCAAAATATGCAATAATTTAATTGATTCGGCTGAAATATTAAGTTGCCTCAATTTTTTGGTTCCTGCAGCAAACACCCGAACTCACCATAAATTTTATCTGGAAAACTGTCATACTAATCTCGCCAGAAATGCGCCTATATATAGAGCCTGCTCATGGCATAATCAATTAATACCCATTGTACTTGAGTTGGATCTTTTCAATGGTACTGTAAAGTCATTTAAAACTAAAATTATATCACAGATAAAAAATGCTCTCCTGAATTAAATTGCTCTAGTGATTGTTTTGATTGATTGTTTTGATTGATTATTGAATCTTGCATTTTTGTGGAATATTGCTGATTAGCTTGGGGTTAACTTTTTGTCCTGGGGTTTTGCTGAGGGAAGCTGTTGATGCTGCTTAATATACTTAATTTACATCTGTTTTCTCTTGATTGTTAATTACAAACTATAGTTAGTTACTTCATGTATTTGTATATGAAGCATATGTCAAAACCTAGTTTTAGTTTACAATAACATTTGTCTAGTCTTTAATTTGAGATTATTATAATTGTCTTGTTATTGGGTTTATCCTGTTAGACAATAAACAAATAATAAAATAATAATAATAATAATAATCCAACTTACCAATAGTAACCCGGTTAGTTTGCAATTTTAATAAGATATTTCCAAACTTACCAATTCTAACCCGGTTAGTTTGGGTTAGTTTGCAATTGTAATCAAACATTACCAAAATTATCGATAATAACCCGGGTTAGTTTGCACTTTCAATCAGAAATTAGCAAACCTACTGATAATAACCCGGTTAGTTTGGGTAAGTTTGCAATTTTAATCGAACATAACCAATATGTTTTCAAAATTTGTGTTAGTTTGCAATTTATTGTAATCAAACATTACCAAACTCGAACATATCGAGAATAACTCGGTTGGTTTGGGTTAGTTTGCAATTGTAATCAAACATTACCAAAATTATCGATAATAACCCGGGTTAGTTTGCACTTTCAATCAGAAATTAGCAAACCTACTGATAATAACCCGTTTAGTTTGGGTAAGTTTGCAATTTTAATCGAACATAACCATTATGTTTTCAAAATTTGTGTTAGTTTGCAATTTATTGTAATCAAACATTACCAAACTCGAACATATCGAGAATAACTCGGTTGGTTTGGGTTAGTTTCCAATTTTTATTAGACATTTCTAAACTTACCGATGATAACCCGGTTAGTTTGGGTTAGTTTGCAATTTTAATCAGTTATTAACTTACCGATAATAACTCGGTGTTTGGGCATGGTTCAAAATTAGTGATTTTCGGAAGTACTTATTCAAAGTCAATATTTTCCAAATTGTTGATTTTCGAAATGAAAGCATTTGTAAAAAACATCAACATTTTTGTTTTCGAAAAATGAACATAGACAGTGAATAAGTAGGTTTTTTTTTCTAAAAAAGAAGATTATCCAATATCCTATTTTTAAACAATTTTTTGCGTAGGAAACATGTTTTCTTGCCTTTTCTTTGCCTCCAGCGTTATTTACCTCCTGACAGCCCGCAGGGCCGCTTGAGCAAAAACCCTCCCGGGCCGATTCAAAGTTGCCCATCCTCCCCTGTCAAGGTTTGAAGCTAAACTTGTATTGTATGAGTAGTTGAAAGTGCTTCTAAATTTATTGTTGGAAAATTGTACAAAAAGATGATTTTTACTTATTTTGATAGGGTTTATTTAAGTACATAATATACCTAATTATTTTATTTTGTCCATTCAATTTTGATCTTATTTGGTTAGCTATTTGTTTAAGCACCTCATTTATGATCCATATTTCATTTGCTTAGCTTCCAGACTCCTCAAGCTTTCTAATGATTATTTTAGCTTTAGCATTGTTCCCCATATTTTCTCTTTACTACTCAAGAAATACATCATATTTATGAATTTTCGGAACTATAGATAAGATACCTTTATTTAATTCTCCTATTGATAAGACAAATAAATTACAATTATGAAGTGGGTAAGCACATTAGTTTAGGAATATTTGCCAAGATAAATATTGATTATTCGATGTCATCCTAGCAACACCTACCTGAACAAAGATCAAAGATCAATAAATCTAGCCTATAGTAATAGAATATTAATTTGTTTACTTATAAATCATGCATTATTCCTGATAAATAATTTAATTAATTTATTTGAAAAGTTGATGAAGCAAGGCTTTAGGTTTATACAAAAAATGGAAAATTGAATAGATTCGCTCGAGCACATTTTCCCAAATGGATGAAATTTTATCAAAGTATAAATGCTTTACAATTGCAAGTTTCAAAAAAAAATGATGCACAAAAATTTTGGGATAACGTAAAATACAGTTATTCATTCATTCATTAAGAAGGTTTATTTTTCCTCTCTCCCAGTATCTCTTTGATGCTATTTTTTTTAAATATAAACAACATAATAACAACAGATGTAGTAATAAATATTCGGTTTCAAGCAAAAATGTCTGAAAAGTTGATCAATGAATTTTTCTTGACTTCAAGACCCAATATGAACGATTTTGTTCTAACAGGTGGATCCTTTTTCCAAAGAAGAAGTCCAAGCAAACGTTCTCCTTGCAAGAGGAATCCAACTAGCAAAATGGTTCAAAACACAAAATATAGGCCTAGGCGACATAGTTTCAGTTAATAGCGAAAATCGTATAGAGTTTGCAGTAACCGTTTTGGCGACATTTTTTGTTGCTGCCACATTTGCCCCACTAAACCCCGATTATACCCCAAGTAAGTTAATGTTTGCAAAATTTAAATTAAAATCTGTACAAAGATTTTGGCTTATTTCAGCTGAATTGAAGCATGTCCTTGACCTATCGAAACCAAAAATCATATTTTGCTCAGAAAACACAATAAAAAAAATGATCTCAATAAAACCAAAACACACCTACATTGAGAAACTTGCTGTTTTTGGAAAAGAGAAACACCCTAATGTATTAAGTTATGAAGATATTGTACAAGGTAATACCAATACCTATTTTTGTATATAAATGTGCTTAATAAGTTTTTCCTTATAATCAAGGAGTTACTGAGGTAGATGAAGAATTCGAAGCCCCAGAAATCGATACAAAAGAAACAGTAGCTACAATTTTATGTTCATCTGGCACTACAGGATTACCTAAAGGTGTCATGTGCACGCATAATAATATGGGAGCGTATGTTGATGTTGCCAGGTAAATCTTTATTCCAACAAACTAAAATGGCCTTAAAAAGAAAATTTCAGGATGCAACTTCAAGATTTGGCACTAAACGATGACCCTAGTGATGCCATGATGGGCTTAACACCATTTTTTCACTCTTTTGGTTTCATGTTAATGTTTTTGAATATTATGAGAGGCAAAAAAATGGTTGTCATTAGAAAGTTTAATCTTAAACTTTTCTTAGACTCTATTATAAAATATAATGTGAGTGTTTGTATATATTCTGCTGTTGGTTTTATAATGAAAATTTGTTCATTTAGATAAGGCGGTTGATAGTTCCTCCTCCTGTGTTGTTAATATTGCTCAAAAATCCCATGGTTAAGAACTACGATTTGAGTGGGCTGCAAGAAATTAGAAGCGGCGCTGCTGCTTTGGGTAAAGATATGGAAAAGGAATTGAAGCAAAGGTATTAGATGATCTCGATTTTTTTTTTTAATTATTGAATTTTTGTTAGATTTAAGGTCAAAACAGTGTCACAGTCATATGGTATGACTGAAACCACTCTAGGAGTCTTATTAAATGTAGGAAATCTTCATGTCAAAATTGGTTCTGTAGGAAAAGTTGTGGCAGGAATGATGGTTAAGGTAATTTTTCTGTTGGATATATTACTGTCTGTGACTACTAACAGTACTAACCAAATTATGTATATTGATAAAATAATGGAAAACTTAAAAGTCACCTAGACTACTGGGTATTTTTAGTCCTTGTGTTGCTTTCAGCCAAAAGTGCATGATCTGTACTGTTGGTTGATATTTTTTGATAGGCGCAATTTTTTTATAAAAATCTTTATCTAGGTTATAAATGAAGATGGTGAACCACTGGGGCCATACAAAGAAGGTGAACTATGCTTCAAAGGTCCCCTTATAATGAAAGGTTATGTGGGCGACCCTAAAGCTACAGCTGACATAATAGATAAAGATGGTTGGCTGCATACAGGCGATGTGGCTTATTATGATGATGACAAATATTTCTTTATAGTTGATAGAATTAAGGAGTTGATTAAATACAAAGGATTCCAGGTAAGTCAAGTTCATATAGGGTGTTGGGAATACTGCCCTAGCTTTCAAGGTTCATAGAACTTCCAAAAACAAGTCCTTATATGAACTTATGCTGTAAAATACGGTTTAAGAAAGTTGCAGCCCTTTGAATGAAGATAAAACAGATATTTTTTAGTGAAAAAAAATATAAAATCTGCTATTTGCACTATTAAATAGAAATAAATGTCCAAAGAGATATGAAAAACAACCTTCAAACCAAGTTTATCATACAAAATTTAAAAAAAAAAAATCACAAGTTTTCTTGAAAATTAGAAAACAGCGTTTTTTTTTCAAAGTTCAGCTCTGACTTTCTGGCCAGTTTTTTCCAAGACTATTTTTACACCATATATAATTAATTGTAATTTTTTTCGCGTAATGTTCCAGGTTGCTCCTGCAGAATTGGAAGCATTACTTTTGACTCATCCCAGCATACAAGATGCTGCTGTAATCGGTTTGCCAGATGAAGATGCTGGCGAGCTGCCTTTAGCTTACGTAGTTAGAAGAGAGGGTAAAGAGGTGACTGAAAAAGAAGTGAAGAAATTTGTAGCAGGTATGTGAACCAGGTTTGTCTTTGTGAAAATTAAGTTTAAAAATTATTTTAGATACACTGTCACATCAAAAGCAACTGCGAGGAGGGGTTGTTTTCATTGATGAAATCCCTAGAAATCCAAGTGGTAAAATTTTGAGGCGAGTGTTGCGAGAAAATGCAAAAAGTTCTATAAAAATCAAGGCCAAACTTTGAAACTATTTTGATTCTAGTCTAAAGACATTATTTTATTATTGTACAGGGATTTTAATTTGTTTGTAGTTAATTGTTATCTATTTTATTCCAAGCCAAAGGTGATTTTTTTACTATTTTAAAGCAATAATGTAAACATACATTTTTTCTAGGAAAATATGTTCAGACGCAAGTCTTCAATTTGCACTTTGTGATCAGAAAATTAGTCAAACTTGGAAATATTTTTCCAAATTCTGATATGCATTTGATTTGTACCAAGTACACTAATTTTAACCTTAACAGAACTATTTTTTTTATTCATAAGCCCAGTGTTTAAAATTTTTCCTTAGTTGCATTTCTGGTGCAACTAAATGTATTTCTGATACATCAACATAATACTTAAATAAATTGGAATGGTTGTAGATTAAGTAAATGTGATTAAATTTGTTAAGCTATTTAATTTTCAGTTCAAACTGTTGTTACTGTTTTTTTAATTTTTCTTGTCATTTCCCCAGTTTTATTCATGTGAATGCCTAGTCCGAAAATATTTGGAGTTCCTTGGATTTAGCTAGCGAACAAACCCTCCTTGGATTAAGGAGAAAAAATAAAACATTGGAATTATCACTGTTAATGCAACAATATTTATTAATTTGGTTTCTTCTCATTCTTATTCAAGAATTACTTAAATGTCAATTTCGCGTAAAACACACAGGAGTGTATTTTCTACGACCCTGCGCCGAACGAGGCAGACAACCGTTGAAGATTTGGATTTACACTCTAGATAAATGGTGCTTCATATGCACATTGCAATTTTTTCCGGTTCCGTGTTTTAAGCTCGAAAAGTCTATGTCTTGTGCCGTTAAAAAGAGATCTTGAGTGCCTTAAGTCGATGCTGATACGTTGGTGGTTGTGGAGAACCGTTTTCCAGGGGATGCCCGTATATACACACAGCTTATAAGAAAACCCAGGTGAGTGGAAATATCTTTTGTGTGTTCCAACAACCCTATGGTATCATTTTCATTTCTATTTCTATTTGTTTGCGTGATTTTCCAGTCGCAGTCCAGTTTACTACCTTTCAAATACTATTGCGTAAACAATCACATTATGTGGACATTTAGATCTATTTTCAGATCATCCGGCAAGTGGAGTTGGACTTTTTCTTTGTTTTCCTCAAGGCAGGCTTGTATTTAATTTCAAATTTATCATATAGGTCAATTTATAAAGTTCCTCAATTGGTATTCAATGAACAAGTACAACAGAAATTTTATTTTATTTTAAACTTGGCACAACAATTCGCCAACTTGGAATTAAAAAGAACAAGACCGGCTTGCAGCACTATCACAACAAGGAGACCATCAAAGACAAAAAAAAACTATAGAGAAGAAATATCTTATAATTTGGGAACTAGAAGTGCAGCTAAGTATAATTTGGTGTTACGAAACTCAAGACATAATGTATGTCAGAATCTCAGGTCAGAATCATATTTATTATGTGGGTCCAAAGATATACAATAGTCTACCAATGCGACTGAGATAAAAAACATATTGAATTAAAAAGAATTGAAAAGGAAATTAGGGACTGGATTCTGGAGAGTAGTATCAATTTTGTTATTTGAAAAAGAGATAGATTAAAAGTGATAGGACTGTTTTCTTTTGTTTTGAATTATAACAGCGACAACATCTTTACCATATACAGCTAAGAACAAAAGAACAGAAAGCTGCGGAAACCCTACAAGAATTTGAAACGAATATCGTCTAGTTATCAATTTGGCCTACCCAGAATTGCAAAAGCTGAAACGCGGGAACCACCGCTGTTCACACTTGTTTTTTGAAGCCCCCACCACGCTAAATCACCAGTCGTGACGTAGGCAGTATGTCGTTTCTCGCCTTGACGTAGGCTGTTTGCACTACCGGTTATATTATGATTCCGCGGGCTTTTGCTAGTATTACTAGAGGAACGGGCCAACAGGATGCGTTGGTATTGTATGGTTTAAGGTTTAAGTTCTGACTTAAGCACTTCAGGAGCAACAAAAACCGAATTTTCGCGACGAGTGTAGCTTTGTAACGTCATGTGTTTAAACGCTGGCTAGAAGCTGCGTCCATGCTTCCGGCGAACCACGTTCAATATGACGTCATTAGTTTCTCGCGAAAGCGTTTGTGTTCATGAAATCATGGAAGTAGTTCGTCGCAAAAATTCGGTTAAAGACTTTTCGAAAAGAATAATCGCGTAACGCCCCGGAGCAGTTCCGGAGCTCCTCCTAGGTGTGAAAGAAATACAAGTATTATAGGTGATACTCCAATATGGCCGCGATTACCAAAAACAAGGCCGATAAGCAAAGCAATCCTTAGTAGTGTGTCCTATCCTTAGCTCGAGTTAGCCTGCTCATTAGTTTTGCATAAATTGTATTCCTTTCACACCTAGGAGGAACTCCGGGACGTTACGGGCTTATTCCTTTCAAAAAGTGCTTGTTGCACCTGAGTGCTCAAGCCCGAATCAAACCATTTAAATCCATGAAAGCCAGCGCATCTGTTCCTTTCAAATCGGGGTCGACTAACACCGGAGCGAGTAGCTTAAGTGTTTCAAACTCTTGAAAGGAATACAACTATTTGTTGTTCATCATACATATTTACTTACGGAAAGCTTCGTACAGACCTGAACATTACGCCGAACAACAAACAGAACAACGAAACGACAACGAACGACACTAATTTAGACGGGGCTACGAACGAGTTTGCAAATTGGTTCGCTCAATGGCAAATCCTGACCGTTCGGCGAATGGTTTTCGGCGTTCCATCACTTGTGGGAACCGTATGAACGTTATCCGTTTGTGGTTCGGATCGTCGAAATCGAAAAAGGCCGTTCGTCGCAAGGATAATACACACTTTTTACACTTGTTTTTGGTAATCGCCGCCATATTGATGTATAACCATTGACAACGTCATTGACTATGTCGTCGACTGTTTGCGCCAGCGGTCGTAGTCTAGAATCTTAATTCATCTTGGAAAATATTATTTAATTCAAATTAAATATAGGTCCCGTATATAGACTTTCACTCATCAATGTAACAAGCGGTTACCACGTTGGTTATTTTGGTGAGAGATAAAATTATCAGCTTCCAGAAAACCATGTCCCGTAAGTTGACTTTTTTCAGGAACTGATATATTTGGGACACCAAACCAAGAAGTTGGTTAAAATATTAGATACCTATAAGTTGTATTCTTTCCTAGAGTTTAAAGCATCAGAGCTACTTGCTCCGGTGTTAGTCGACCCCGCTTTGAAAGGAACAGATGCGCTGGCTTTCATGCATTTTAAATGGTTTGACTCGGGCTTGAGCACTCAAGTGCAACAAACACTTTTCGAAAGGAATAAGCGCGTAACGCCCCGGAACTCCTCCTATGTGTGAAAGAAATACAACTATACGAAACATATACTAATTCTGAATTAGGCAATTCAAACCACGTGACATTCGAGATGGCGTGGCGGCCACACATGGGCCAAAAAACACAAAAAAATATCTAGTTTCTGCCCGAATTAATAGTTAAGGTACCTAGTCAACAAATATTTTATTAAATAATGAAAATCAAAGTTGTGAGCAAAACTGTATGCAAAATAATTTAAAATACGCATAAAAACATATACAAAACAAACTTGCTTGGCCGCTACGCCACATTGAATTTTCCTTTTTGACAGATGGATTGAATTGCCTAATAACATATTTTAGCCTGCGTTCGGCATTTTGCTCAAAGAGCAAAGCGTGCTGAAGCGAAGCGTAATCACATGACCAACACTAACGAGCGCACAGAGCAGTTGAACACTGTAAATTTTAATAAACGAACGCGAATGATCCTGCACCGAGCATTCTTTTTAAATTAACCAGCGGTAAATTCAAGCTCGGAGAACTCAGATCAAAATACGGAACGCACGGATAATATGCAAATAGGAAGATGCCAACGAGATGTAAAAAATAGTTGTTGAATGTTAAATGTAGTAAAACGTATGCACAAAACAAAAGCCCGCGGAATCATAACCTGTGGTGCAAACAGTCTACGTCAAGGCGAGAAAGGACATGCTGGTTACGTCACAACTGGTGATTTTGCGTGAAGGGGGCTTCAGATTTGTTTTAGACAGGCCTTATGAGGATAGGCTATCCTGTAGTAGTAGTGTTAGCAAGTTATCCTTCGTTCGCCGTTCTGTTCGCTGTTCGGTTCGTTGTTCTGTTTGTTGTTCGGGTCTATACCAAGCTTTACATTTCGCTGTAAGCCCAAGGTTATTTGAGAGAGGTAGGTTGCCCTAATAACGTTATGACGTCATCTGGGGTGCCTCAACATAATACAAATCTCCATAAGGCAACAGATGCGTCAAGTTACAAGTAACCCATTACTACAGTAACCAGCAAACAGCAACCTTTTAACTTAAGGAACTTTGCTGTAAACCTACCTTTAGGAAAAAATCGTGTCGAGAAGTCGAGACAGAACATGATACATCATAACCTCACAATTACTTTATATTTTTTTTTTTTTTTTTATATTTTGTTGGCAGATGTGATAGTCCAATTTGTAGATGTTTCATATAGTATATATTAAATTGTTTAATTGTTAGAATCAGCTTTAAAGCTGTAAAGTTGTATAATGGTTTACCGTTAATAAATAAATAAATAAATAAACAATTATTCTATCTTTAGATTTTCAGCTTGAACTTTTTTTTCAAAAACTAAAACTGTTTCAAAACAAATTTTTCACATGAATTTTTGAATTAGTATATCAAATTTTACCAAAAATGAATATCGCCCGTTTAAATCGGAACCTGACATCTCGTATTTTAACAAAATCAAGAAGTTTGGCGACAACCGCAGTAACAGCACCTCAACAAGAAGATGATGAATACAGTGCCACCCCGCAATACCCACCAATTTTGGATCTTTCAGTAGAGAAAAAACTCGAAAGAAAACGAGCTACAAAATCTGATGAAATTAGAAATGCTAAAACCGTCGAGGAAAAGCAACTTAAAATTAATATGCCTAGGTAATAAATAGACTAATAATTGGAAAATCGAGTCTCTTCGACTAATTCATTTTTAGATACTACGGTTTTAAAAGTTTCATGTTCATTGAAGAACGTATCCCTTATAACAGTTTATCACTGGCTCAACATGTAACAAGAACACATTTAATTAAAACTAAAGATTTACCAGAGTATTACCAAAACATTAATGTAGAAGATTTAGAAATCATATCAAAAGATGTCCAGGAAACATTATTAATGGAAATTGATGGAATTCAGTGAGTAACTTATAAGGTTTAATGTTAAGTATTTACATATTATGATTTTAGAAGACAACATCATCTGAAAAATGCAGATTTCACCGATGTCCAAAAAGAAAACTATTTGGGTTCTAGCATTGTGAAAAGCATTAACAGAGCTTTGAATAATGTTCTGGTTCATAAATATCCCCATATTGTGAATAATGAGGTAATGATTCAATTTATCTACAATCATTCACATTTTTACATAGGTACTTAACTTTATAGTAATAGTATTTTATTTTTAACCATATATGAAATGTTGTCATTACTGACTTTTCAAAAATTTGAAAATGTCACATTTCTATCTTTTCATTTTCCTGCTCCATTACCTGTCCCAGGACGGGAAATTTTTTCCGTCCTCATTTCCCGTCCACGGACGGAAAATGGAGCAGGGAAATATTTCCCGTTCTCATTTTCCTCTTCATTTGCCGACCTCATTTGGTTGCCCCGATTTTTTTTTTCTAGAAATTTTGGTTAAAAATAAAATAGTATACAACCCTCGACGGGAAACTTCATTGCTGTCTCGAGGTTCAGTTTATCTCGACGCTACGCGTCTCGATAAACTATAAAACCTCTCGACCAGTAATGAAGCATTTCCCGTCTCGGATTGTAATATACTATTATGTACGACCTACACTGTAAGAGCTTATTACGTAACTCATTTAAGCCTGTTTGAGCTACGTAATAAGTTGAATTATCAAGCTTAGTGATGTAATGAGCTCATTACATGATTCAGTGATGTAATGAGCTCTCATTTCATCAATCAGTGATGTAATGAGAGCTCATTACGTAACTCATTTTTATTAAAAAACAGCACCTTTTAAAATTCATTTGTCAAAAATTATAAGTAAGTATAATCTTTTGTGAAAAATCAAAACCATTTCGAAAATATGAAAAAAATCTGGGTCGTACATGAAATGTTGTATATCACAGGTACGGTAACACTCATTACATCACTCGTGTGATTACCACGACTCGGTCTACAACCTCGTCTTGGCAATATTCCCCACTCGTTACTGTAATGAATCTCCTCGTGAATCTCATACCGTACTAGTAATATAATAGATATTTATGTTATAAGGATCATAATGATTGTTTATGATCCGAATTCCATATAATATTTTATATTCCGGCGATTATAGTCAATACATTGTTCTGTTAGAGTCCTGGAAAATTGTTCGAAAATAATTGATCAAACGGAAAATTCTTCGAAAGGAAAATTGTTCAAACGGAAAATTATTCGACAAGAAAATTGTTCTAACAGAAAATTGTTCGAAAGGAATATTGTTCGAAGGGAAAATTGTTCGAAAGGAAAATTGTTTGAATGGAAAATTCGAGGGAAAATTATTCGAACGGAAAATTGTTCAAACGGAAAATTGTTCGAAAGGAAAATTGTTCAAATGGAAAATTGTTCGAAAGAAAAATTGTTCGAAAGAAAAATTGTTTGAATGGAAAATGGTTCGAATGGAAAATTGTTATTAATATTTGTTATTAATAAATGTACTTATACGCCTCGGAAACGAAAATTCACCAAAAACGTGAAAAATCTTTTTAAAATACAACAGCTCGAAATTTCAATTATTTTTGAATATCCGATTGCTTGGTTTGCTCACCGAATCTCAAAGAGAAGATCCGCGGAACCATAAATTCGGCGTTGGTACAAAAGAGCGCAGCTCAAAAGCGAGCGGACAAAAGGGCACAGGTCAAAATATTATTGGCAACCAGTACACTTCTAACCAGTATTAAATGAACTGTAACGAAACTAACCAAAAATATGTAAACTAGCCCAAACTAACCCAAAAAAATGCAAACTAACCCAAATTAACCCGTCCACCTAATGCGTGCTAGTTCTTATATATTAATATTGAATTTAAAAAACCAAGAATTGGGAATCAGGGACAAATATTAAGAATTAAGGAATTGGGTAATTCCGGCCATAGATTCATTTACGATTCACAGTTAAACTATTGATTTTTCTGAGAAAAAAAAAACAATTTTCTGTTTGAACAATTATTTTCGAACAATTTTCCGTTCGAATAATTTTCCGTTCAAACAATTTTCTGTTAGAATAATTTTTCGTTCAAATAACAGTTCGGAACAATTTTCCGTTCAAACAATTTCAGACCAAAACACTTTTTATTTTAATATTCTTAAATGTAAACAGAAATCATAGTGGCCATAAACGAGATATTAAAAAAAAAAAAACATTAATTCAGGTATTAATATTGCAAAAAGTAGGTATAGTCTTTCCAAACTCAATTCGAAGAAGGTACCAACTGGTAGCTGACTGGTCATTGTAAATTTCCATAAGAAATGCACTGCCACTAGTCAGCCACCAGTTATGATTTATGTTCACCTTGTTCCAATTGACTTTAGAAAAACTATACTTAAATATTAAAAGAAAAGATCCTTTTATTTATTAAATGAAATAAATGAATTAAAATGTCCACTAATAGAAATATTTATTTATGGTACTAGTGTGTTATGTTGAAAATAAGTCACGCGAGAAAGATTTATATATATACAGGGTGTCCGGAAAGTCAACGATAATACTGAAAGGGCTGATGGAACAACTCATTAGCACCCAGAAAAACATAATATGACCTTAGTAAAAAATCGATGGTTTTCGAGATAATGTCACTTTAATAAAATTCGTTAAAATGGTCCTGTTGGATCAGATTTTCGAGTGTCACATTAAAATTTTCATTATTTTCAGATTCTCTATTAAGTTTTGCAATGGTGAGTAAACATTTCATTTGTCATAGAACAACATTAAAAGTTAAAGTTCAAAACATTTACTAAAAAATCTTTTTAAAGTGAATACTCCTGATACTTTAGATCCGTGCGTGGTCCTTTATCACCTTTCCCTATAAAATAGCACTGAAAGGTGATAAATTTTACCTTTACCTTTGGACATCGGATTGTGAATAGACTATTTCACTAGAGTGTTTTACACTGGCATTATGTCATAGGAGCGGCCGGTTTCCTACTGACAAAACTCCTACCTGGACAAAACCAACATGATGGTTTTTCAGCGATTATTTCATTCATGATATAATAGACGAATCAGACAACATCATTTTTTGAATACCTTTTGTTTAAATAAGTGATTATTGCACAAGACCTGTTTATTCGCGATTGAATTTTTGTTTCTCTTTTTTGACAGAATTTTGATAGAAATATTCTGACATTTTATCATAAATAGAACTCTTTGTTGCTGGCTTTAAACTCAATTATTCAGGAAATAATCTAGCCGTATATCACTCGACCCTATAAATTTAAATGTATTAAACTATTAAAATATTTTTTGCACTATTTTGCTTTTTGGCAAATAGTTTCATGCACAATAACTTTCAAATAAAATTCGACTATTTTCCAAGGAAAATCATGCTCAAAATATTTTGGATAGTTTACCTAATCGATTAAATTTAAAGCTCCTGTGATATAATATACAGGGTTTCAATTTGAAAACTTCCCACCCCTATTATCTCGGAATGGAAAAAAAATCGAAAAAATCCCTGAAACACGCCAACTATAATTTGAAGGGGGATGAGTTTTTATGCAAAATTCACCTCCCCACTTTCAACCCCCCAGCCCCTAGAGCTACCCACTAGAAAATCTTAAATGGGAAGGGGGGTCAAGTGAAACATCATTTTGTAAGGTTTTTAATTCCATTCATTTTGGTGGGTACTAGATTTTAATCCCCAAGTCAAGAGCGTAGATATGGGGCGGTAGAAGGGGTAATTACACCCCCCAGATCTCTATTTTTTTAGGTAAATTAAAAAAAAAATAATAATATTTTATTAGATGAAAAATATAGGGGCTTCCGGGTTAAGTAATAGTATATTACATACCGAGTAGGGAAGTGTTTCATTACTGTCGAGAGATTTATATAGTCAAACAAAAGCGTCGAGATTGACTATTAATCTCGAGACAGAAATTAAAACTTTCCTCCAAGGTTTGTATACTATTTTATTTGCAAGCACACCATTAATTATGATTAATCATTTAATTTTTTTGATATTAAAAAAATAAAACAAACATGCCAAAATCTGTCATTTACTGTTTTGACGTTTTTACCTAACAGGCTCTCATGGTTCACAGCAAAGGTAAATAAATTAGAGTGAAGGAAATCGGTGAGGGAAATCGAATAGGAAAATCGGTGAGGGAAATCGAAGAGGGAAGTGACACAGGTAAAGTGACACTTCCAAATTTTAAAAAAGTCAGAAATGTCAAAATTACATATATGGTTGCAAATAAAAGATTATCACATATCAAATCTCTATTTAACCTTATACTTTTTCTAGACATTTTTCATTCTATTGCATTTAAATTGGCATGTAAGATGTTCACTTGTCAGACTGGTATACAGCAATACAGCTATTTACAAAGTGGCACAAGCATATAGAGTACTCCCAGAATCTTTCTGCTGGGTCATGTATCAAGTCGTGTGTGTGTGAATGTTTACTTAAAGTTTTCTTTTTCCGAAAATATGTACTTTCAAGTGGCGATAATATAATAAAAGTGGTGTCAACTGAATCGTAGTGAAGTATTTTATCAGTATATTTTATAAGGTAGGCTGCACAACCCTATTATTACCATAAAAACACTGATTTATTAAACATAAATATTGCAATATCCTAGCTGGTATCCCATACCATAAGGTTCAATTTCGCAAATAAACCATTATACCACGCCCATGAAATACCACTATCAAACCCAGCAGTCTGCAAATTGCCTGGTTTGTCGGCCAACGTTTTTTTTTTTGGAATAATTCCGATTTGGTCGGTTCGGAAATATACGTAAAATTACAAACTTTATTCGCATTACCTACCTTATATGAAAGACAACAAGAGGGAATATCGCTCTCAATATAATGGAGGAGCCAAAGTCATTTGCTGACATGTTTAAACTACTATCCCAAGAAAACAAAAAAACACACCAAAAACTTAACAGAACAAATACAGACTAGTGAAGTAAATATCACAAAGAAAATTGGAAAAAGCGAAGATAAAATAAAGAAAATACAGGAACAAAATTATATTTTTTGGACTTAAAATCGAAGATTCCAAAAGTATAGTAAAAAGTACCATATCCAAACTTAACGAGCTTTTTCAAAAAAATATCAATATAAGAGATATAAACAACATATATAAGTTGGGAAAATCTGAAAACGCACCAATTATTGTTGAATTTCTTTCATTTTTGAAGAAAAGTGAACTTTTTGCAGACCAGGAGAAACTAAAAGGATTAAGAGGCACTGGCTATAGTATCTCCAACGACCTGTGTGAGGAGGACAGAAAGGAGCTAAATAAACTTAGAGAATACTTGAAAAAAGCTAGAGAAGAAAACAAGCAGGCCAAAATTAAGGGATTAAAGCTGGAAATCGAAGGAAAAATTTATACATCTAAGGAGCTCAAAGAATTATATTCAGAACCGGAAAGCAGTGAAGACAGTTCCTCTGAATCATCAGGACAGGAAGAAGAGGTCGAAGAAATTCGTAGAGGATTATCAGAAGCCGAAGAAGATTGTGAGGAAAAAAGGCGAAAACACCTAGCCCGCGAGAATATAGAACTAGAGCACACAAAAAAAGGAAACATTAATGGCGTTTTTTGTTTGCTATTGTTGGGTGAAATATCCTTATTGTAATTTTTAAAGTTTTTTTTTTGCGTTGTTTCTTTGAGTATGTCTTTCAAATTATATTTATTTTAATTGTACCAAATAGTCTAAGACCTTCGAAAAATAAATTTCAGACATTTCGATTTTGTACATAAATATATATATAGGTACAAGCGCAGTGCATCATGGACAATTATATACAACATTTCCAAGATGAAACATATGACACTTTTGAAATAAAAAGTGTAAATTTTTTTAACAACAATGGGCTCTTTCACTAAAATTTAAATACGTAATTTAAGTATAAAATCTCAAAGGAGGGACTATTTTAGGCATATATACCAAAAAAAAAATGTTCTACAAGGTTCAATAAGTTTTTCATAGGCAATCAAAAGTGCCTAAATTCAAACTATTTTAAAACGCGCCGATTTGCCGACGTCACATAAATATTCTTCATTTCGCTTATGGGTCTGTTCCCACAGGAGTCTTTGACAGTTTGCAAACTGTCAGTAAGCATCGCCCATACATGTTTTCAATGTTGTCGTTCCAAGATTAATCTGTAAATCAGCTGAGCGATTGTTTCTGACAGTTTGCAAACTGTCAAAGACTCCTGTGGGAACAGACCTTATGTCGTTGCAAGGAGGAAGGGCTCGGCTGTGTTTGCGCTCTGTAAAGATACGTAAAGGTTCGAATGCGCTGTTGTCGGTTGTGACTAAATGTAGTGCAGCGTAAAATAAATAAATAAAACTAAACATAAAAAATTGCATTAAATTGTATTTAAGCATAATTTAAAAAAAAAAATTATAAAATCTTGAATCTATAACTAATTAATTTAACTACTTTTCATGAGATTTTGCCAACATTTCAGAATTAAATCTATTACAAATTTTCAATGTTGACAATTAGTGGCAACACGGTCAAATTGCGAGCTGCGACGTCATAGAAATAAATTCTGGGTTTTTATTTGGAGGTATTTCTTTGTTTTCTGTTTTCTCAAGAAGGACTTTGAATTTTTCAAAAGTAAAAATACAGAAAATTCTGTTTTTAGTTGCTTTATCCAAATATGCCAATTTCAAAAATTAGTGAAAGAGCCCATTATTCAAAACAGAATAAGGAATTGAAAATTTTCCACCTAAATATCTCCAGTTTAAATAGAAACTTTGACAAACTATGTTTATTTCTCAGTAGTATAGATGTTGAATTTGAAATCATTATTTTGACCGAAACTTTCAAACACGATAATTTTGAAAAGTCGCCATTTGCGATAAAAAAACTATAGCATGTTATACAATCATGGCGATTACAACAAGAATGATGGGGTGGTTGTTTATATCCGGTCGGATTTACAGTTTAATTATAATGTTGTACTGCTTGGAAGCATTAAAGTTTTAGAGATCCTTGTATCTTATAAAAGTAAACAAGTTCTTATAACCGGACTATATAAATCTCCACAAATAGAAAAGGAATCTTTCAATGATAGTCTGATGACATACTTGGACAAATGTAAAAAACACAAAACACACCTTTTGGTTGGAGATATCAACATAAATTTATTAAATAGAACAGAGGAAAGTGTCGAGAACTACAAAAATATATTAGCACAGTACCAGTTCAAATCTTACATAAATAAAGTCACACGACCAAGATCAGGGACTTGTCTCGACCATATCTTTTTTAAAGGACCAAGCACACTACTGGACAGTTCGAAATCATTTATCTTCCAGACTCATATAACTGACCATTACCCAGTAGCATTTTTTACTTCCTTATCTCGGTCCGAAGATTCAAAAAGCCCTAAACAAACCCAAACCAAACGCTTTACGAACTACACCCACCTAAAACGTGATCTAAAAATGGAGACTTGAGACCAAGTTTATACCATGAATGATGTAAACGAATGCATGAAACTCTTTATTAATAAACTGCAGTTTTATCTCGAAAAAAATACAAAAGTCGTCAATATACAACAAAATAAAAATTGCTTTCGAAAAGAATGGATGAATTCTAATCTACAACAAATTAGTCAAGAAAAGAACAAATTATATACGGAACTCATTAAAGACCCAAATGACCTAAACCTAAAAAATAGATATAAAATCAGGCCTATGATGTATCCTCTCCTGTTATTTTAACAGTTGTGTTATAGCTCAAAATCTATACCTGTCTCTATTTTTACGTGTAGAATAAACAGTGACAGATAACATAACGTTGCTGTTAAAATAACAGAAAATGATACATCATAGGCCTGAATGCATGCAAAAACAAATTAAGAACTCAAATTAAAGCTAGCAAAAAACAATATTTTCAAACGCAAGTAAATCTCAATGCAACATCAAAATCTAACCTTTGGGACTGTATAAATCAAATCTGTACTAAGACTAAACCAAGAACTAAAATAGGCCAAATTAAAAGTCCCAGTGGGAATACCTACACTGAAAAAGATGATATTTCAAATGAATTTAATAACTTCTATAGCGACCTAGGTGGAAATCTTGCAAAAAAAATAAACAAATTCCGAACTACAAAAGTAATATCCCATGTTTGCAAAATTCGATGCTTCTAAGAGACGTTTCTATTTTTGAAGTAAATAAAACCATAATGAATCTAAAAATAAAAAAGTCCCCTGGATGGGACAATATAAGAAGTGAATGTTTAAAACAAATATCGACAGAAATTTCACCCATTCTAACATCGATAATTAATAAATCATTTGATACAGGTTGTTTCCCTGATTGCCTTAAGATTGGTATTATTAAACCACTATATAAGAGTGGCGATAAACAAATGGTTTCGAATTATAGGCCTATTTCTCTTTTGTCAATTTTCTCAAAGGTCATGGAACAATTGATCAAGAAGAGAATGGTTAGCTTTTTGACTAAATTTAAAATTTTATCGGATTTGCAGTTTGGATTCAGGGAAGGAAGATCCACACAGGATGCAATTCAATTCTTGAAAATGTTTGATTTGATGAATAGCTACTTAACTAATAGAAAACAGCGGGTAAATATTGATGGAACTCTGAGTGACGAAAGATACATCAAATTTGGTGTGCCACAGGGAACTGTTCTGGGTCCTCTACTTTTCACCATCTATATAAATGACATGCTAGGCCTTAAATTGAAAGGAACCCTTATTAGTTTCGCAGATGACACAGTCTTATTTTGTAAAGCAAAATCTTGGCAAATTTTGAAAGTTCAGATTGAGGATGATTTTGTGGAATTAAAAAACTGGTATCAATATAATAAGTTAACGTTGAATGTACAAAAAACCAAATACATGCCATTTTCAACATACAAAAATTTTCTTCCAAAACTCGGAAACATAAAAATTGCAAACTATGAAATCCCAGAAACAACATCTTTCAAATACCTTGGTATCAAAATGGATAACTCGCTTAGATGGGACCTACATATTAATGAACTTGTTCAAAAAATAAGAGGGCTTCTTTCAAAATTCTCGTACCTCAGAGACTTTTTAAGTACTGAGCAAATGAGAATCTTATATATGTCTCTGGTGCAAAGTCATTTGACATACGGTATTCTTGGCTGGGGAGGTGTTTCCGAAGTTCATTTGCGGAAACTTAATACAATACAGAAATGGTTCATTAAGATTATTTTTGGCAAAGATAGAACATATCCAACAAACGATCTATTCTCTGAAAGTAAAACTCTAGATTTGCGTCAGCTCTACTGTCTGGAGATTCTTAAAAATATCAAGAAAGAAAAAATGACTTTCAACATTGGCCAAAATGCCTCTACAAGACGCCACGCCTTAGCATATCCGACAATATCCCATAAAACTCATGGCCAGAGAAGTCTAAAGTATTATTCGCCAAGATTGTATAATATGCTTCCAAATGACATAAAATTAATAGAAAGCTGCAAATCTTTTAAGGTAAAAGCTAAAAACTGGATATTTTTGAAAGGTAGACAGGCTTTTAATAATTTAATTGACCTGAAATACATAAGATAAACGCTTTTTGTTTCAAATAAAGCTTTCAATAAAAAAAAAAATTATAATTAAAAAAAAAAATATTCGAAATCGGCTTAAACCCTTGCTGTAACTTGTATACCCTATTAAGACTTTGAAAACCCGAATTTAGACATATTCCCGGCTATGACACACTATCACACACAAGCACAAGTGTGCTTCAGTGATACATTTTTTCACGTTTATTCTAATTTGTTCATATATCTAGTTATTTGTAACTATTTTGTTTAATAAACGTTATATTATTATTATTATTATAAAAATTCTTCATTCTTGTTCTTTGTGCTTTGCAAGTTGCAAAGCTAGAGAAGGCGGTAATTGTTTGAACGGGTTCCAATGTTGCCAAATTTTTTTTCTTTAGCTCTCAGACTTTTATCCAAGAATCTATCAAAATACAAATTATTCTTTATGAAAAAGTTCATAATGTGCTTTTTCTTCCTACAACTCTTATGAAGATTTAAATTTTCTGAGAAATCGATTAACTTTGTACAAATTTCTCCTACCTACTTACGACATTTTTTGAAAAATTACCTCGAGAATTAGGTACTGCGAAAAAAAAAAAAAAAATTCAAAAATACCATTCGACGGTTTCGTGGTATTTTAAAGTATTTCTCTCTTACTGTTTTGTTTTGTAGGAAAATGTTGAAATATATTGAAAAAATGAATCACTAGCTAATTTTGTCACAAAAAAATATTTATATTTCAGTTTAAGTTAACAAAATACAAACGATCATTACCTTATTCTAACATTGAAAGTTATAGTTATAGGTATCTAAATCAACAATTAAGTATATTTATGATCATTATCGGGATCATGAGAGGTATATTCAGATCCAGTCAATAATTCCTTGATAATTTTCACTTCGCTTTTGTCTGGCTTTTTGTTATAAATGGTTTTTTTCTGTGCTTTTTTCTTTGTTG